GGGTGTGCATAAGCGCACCAACGTGTCTACCATCCCTGTCCTATTGTTTCTTTTTTATTTTTTTATTTTTCAATAATATAAATGTTAATGGTCTAGTAATAAAAATCTCCAAACTTCTAAGAACTGTCAGCTGAGCTGCGTATCCAAAGCCATATTGGCTAGCAATTCTGCAAGTTATGATTTCTTTACACCCAGAGCTTGTTTTTACTGATTTTCCTCTTATTGACCTCTAATAATCTATGTTTACATATTTGGATATACAGAGATGCATGTGTATAATATTTATATAGTCATAGCGGGGGAAATGGTCAGAATGAAATTGGGAATATACTACATGTTCTTAAAGTGGAGCTTTTCCCTAGAATAAAACATATTACTTTTAACATTTGAGCTGTATAAATATGTTTCTGCAAATAAACAAAGGAAAATTTGTATGCTCAATTAAGATAGTGAATTTGCATCACTGGATGAAGGCAGTTAACAAAATCTAAATCTAAATCAATCTAAAACCCACTACATCATATGACATCACATCGCACAATACTATATAGTTCTATATATCCTGTCACAGTATATCTCAGAGCAGGAAATAAAATGTTTTGTGAATTAAAAAAAATAAACATAAGATATGAATCATAAAACCAGTAAAATCTAGTAAATGTGAAATTTATTCTACTTGTTGCATCTTTTCCTACAGCCCAGGCTACTCTCCAAATTTCACCTCTTGAGTTGTCATAAATTTGGGTTAAAATATTTGAGCAATGGGCTATCAGTAATGAAATCGCTCTGGATAACCACACCTGTATGAACTAATTTTATTTGTTTTCTACTATCAACTGATTTCAAAATCATTTTAATCTTTCCTGTTCTTGATTTGTGCTGTTACTGAAAACAACAACTGAGGGACTGATTCTCCCCAATTATATCTGCTTCTGTCATAATACCTGGCAGAATCGATATGCTACAGGACTCACCTGTAAGGGAAATATACTTGGTGGGTCCCAGTAGGAAGGTCTTCTCTGCTCTGGGGCTTGCCTTATGGCACATTCTATCCCCTGAAGTTAGGTTAGTTCCATCCCTGTTAAGTCCTTCAAGACCTGGCTAACATGTAATCTCTTTTTGCATTGTGGTTTTTAAATATTTTTTTAATAATAACATTTTAATTTTTTATTTTTAGATTAGTAGCTTTATTAATTGCTACCCAGAGTAACTTTTTGTGAGTCTGGTGTCTTATAAATTTGATAAATAAAAGTTATAGCTTGTTCCTAAATCCTTACAAGAAGTCCTTATTCTTTTTGTCTCGCTTCCTGCTTCTGTTAAGTAAAGCAGTTTATGAAATGCCCCCCAAAAAGTGTAAGGCTTCTATTGTTCAGTCATATCTTCCATTTTGAAGCCAATGACTGCTATTATAGATACCCACAATCTTTGCACATTCTGAATAATATTTTATGCCTTCAAATTCAAAAGTTGCCCAGCCCTGATCATTTGGTAGCAATTTTGTGAGGAATTATAGGTTCTCATGGTTTTGAGAGGGATACAAATAATTTCACTGATTTCATGTTATCAAAATGGTACTGTTTCTTAAGGACTACATATATTTTGGGGGGATGTTGCCATTCTAATCCTGCAGGTCTTCCAACAGTGCACCATGGTCCCTGTAATTAAGTCCACCTACTATTTCTTTCTTTTTCTTCCATTTTTGTCAGCATTACATTTACAAAGGGGGCAAAGTCGTCACATGATATGTCCAAAGTATCATATCTTGAGTCTGGTCATGTGTGCCTCAAGTTAGAATCATGGATTGACTGTTCTAAAATGTATGAGATATACAAGGTACCTACTTCTTCATAAAAACCTGAACTAAAAATAGCAAGAAAGCCAAGTATATTTGCCAGTATATTTGTCTATAGCAGGGATCCTCACACTACGGTCCCTGGGCCAGATATGGCCCATTGAAGCAATTTATCCAGCCCACGCATCATAAGAAGAGGGGCAGACTGACGGTGGCCTGCTGTCGTTGGTGGGAAAGTCGGTTCCATATTCCAGAGCTCTAGTCATAGGACTGGCCCATTGGTCGTCCTGGAGCAACTTGCTTGCTAGGGAATAGCCAGGCAGCTTGTGGTGGACTGGAAATCTCTGCCATAAAGGGTGGTACAAGAAGTGGTGCAAGGAGTAGCACAGCCCATGCCGGAATTAGATAAAAGTGCTGTTGCAGCAGGGTGGGGTGGCACAGGCGGGCTGAAGCAACGGTGGCGATGGCCGAAGTCTTAGTGCAGGAGCAAAGCATCCCTGTACTTGCCTTTGCACAGCAACAGCATTCTGCCTTCATTGTGGTACATTTGCACTCAAGGCAGCCCTCACCTCCCATTGCTTCGGGCTTGGAGCTATAAGCTGTGTTTGGAAAGCACTGCAGTGGAGAGAAGTAGCTGGGGCTGATTCTCTGGCACCTCATCTCTTGCTGGGTCTCGTGAACGCTTCTTCTGGCCCTTGTTGATGCTGAGTATGCCTTGGTCTCTCGGAGAGATGTGCAACTTGCTCTCTGCCCCGAGATACTGGCCTGACCTGCTCCACAGCTGCTTCCAGTGCTGTTGCTGCCTCCATGGTCTGCCCACTGCTCTTGCAGTGCCTTGCGCAGCACAGTGAAATTTAGTGTGTTTCACACACTAGTGTGTGCCCCCAGTTTCCCCTCCTCCTGGAGCCCATTATGATGTGGAGATACAATGCCACCTTGCCCCATTCGCAACAGCAATGGCATCAACAGCTGCACAGGACAGGCCATTATCTCAGGGCAGAGAGCAGAGAGAGACAGAGACACACAGAGAGAGAGAATGAGAGAGAAAGAGAGAGAGACAGAGAGGGAGAGGGAGAGGAAGAGAGAGAGTTACAGACCTAACCCTAACCCTATAATCTGGTCCCCAAACAGTCTGAGGGACCATGACCCCCTGTTTAAGTTTGAGGACCCCTGGTCTATAGCATAGACTGGCAGGTATCCATAAAATGACCTAAATCCCTAATCTATGTACTTCTGGATAAAATGGTGTGTGTGTGTGTGTATTTGAATTGAATTGGCATCCTTCAATTGCAAGAGACTATGGTATCATGCTATGAAACCGGTAACTGCCACTTCCCATGTTGTTTCAATGCTGTATGCAAAGCTGGAGTGTCCTCTCCAGAGCACGAGGCCTGGGTAATCTAATATGGAGGATAAACTGTTACCCAAGCAACAGATGCCGCCTCTCCATGTCATTGAAATAGTCTAATAGAACAGCAGAGCCAATACAATTGGTTCCAGTTGTGTCACAGGAATTACCAGAACATGATTGTACACGAACTGCTTCCAGGACTCTGGCTCTGGATTTTGCCGCGAGATTGACTCCTTAAAGCCTTTTCCAATAATAGATATAGCCACAAGGCAGTGGAGGTTTGAAATCAGAGTTTCCCTTCTCCTAGAAGATGGTTGTACCATTTTATCTGCCATTGGGGCATAAAGCCCTCTTCTTCCTTCAAAACCATCTTCTCCTGTAACCCTGGAAAGGGGCCCTTACGAGGCCCTACCAGCCAGGTCAGCTGGACCAAGGTTTTTTAAGGAGGTATTACTCCTCTGGCATTCCTCCTCACTCCAGGACACCCATATGGAGAGAGAGAGAGAGAGAGAGAGAGAGAGAGAGAGAGAGAGAGAGAG